GCGGCACGCCTGCATACAGCACCTGGCGAACATTGCACCTGCGTCATCGACGTAATTTGATCGTATCTATACCTCAAGATAGTAACCTCAATTTACTTTTTAATACTAACTCTCTGTAATCTCCCAGTGTACTGAGACTCAAGCATGGCATCTTTGAATGGAAAGCGTCGGTTTATCATCATGGCACGATCCGTTGTTGTCGATTGGCCCTTCTTCGTCGCGGCGTATGTCAACATGTGGTACCTGAAACTTTTTACTCCCTCCGAGGTTAAACTTAACCTCAAGAAAAAGTCCATCATGAATGAATATCTCCCACGGTGTCTCAGATTCATCATAATTTGAGAATCGGGGCGCTGACATACTGAAAATGATGGATAAGTCTTGTCTTATTAGACAAACTATCCTTGATCTTAACATGACTGGCCTGAATACTCTCATGACTGAATAACCATGACTTGACTCTCACATGACCGAATCATCTTTGTTCGAACTCTAAAAACTATCCCGAGACAACTTAAATAGTCGCTTCGAGATTGAAAACGTGATATTTACTGACTTACTTGACTTGATAAGGTACGACTTCAAGTTTCCGGGTAATTTGGACTAATGGTCTGTATCTCAGACCGCCACATTTAACCCGGCTGAACAACTATTATACGCCGACCTTACATCATGAACATAAACTGTAAATCGTGAACCTGAACTCTGTACTGTATAGGGCTGCTCCAGTATCAACTTGTCCCGCAAGTACAAAGTAATTAGCTGATCTTGATCTCTGAAAGTCATGACTTAAAATATCATGCCTGATATCTGACATGACTGACTTGAAAGGTTGTTATTACATGAAATCATACTGTTCCGGTTTCAGCTTCAAGCCTCCATGGTATACCCGGCTGAATGGCTATTATTTCAAGCCTCCACGGTAACCCGGACTATTGACTCTTATACACTGGAAACCGTTATCTTAACCATGACTTGAGAATTATAACAACCTTTAACATGAAAATTCTTGCCTTGAACATGATTTACTGATCTGATTTAGGAAATTTGAGTCTATTCCTCGAATTAAATCAAAGAATTTCTCCCTGAAGTCTGCCAATTGATTGACAAAATGGCAGTTCTTGATAAAATATCTGAGAAACATGATTCTTAAGATTTGTTTAGCACAATGCTTACAAATCTTCTGACAAGTTTCTAACTTGACTTGAATAAATCTAGAATTGAATCTAGAGTTCTTAAACTTAATCCTTTTCTAAGGTTCTGAATCCACTTGCCCATGATACGGGGATTTTCTCGCCCGGAGAATTTCTCAACATGATAGTCGCGGAACTGTGCGATTACTGTGGCTTGAGTAAGAGTCGGGTAATCGGGTTCCCTACGGGGCGACCTCTGAACGTTGAGAAAGTTTAACATTACTGAATACGTGATAGAATTCTGACTGATTACTAAGGCACGCAGATCTCTTGCCGAGTCGCCAAAATGACCGATAATTACTGACATGAATCTTGAAGAACTCTAGAGTCATATAGGAAGATCCTAATGTCTAGAGTCATATCTGAATGCCCTAAATTCTAGAGTCATGTCCGAACTCTAAAGTCTGAACCTGATTCGAGCATCTTAACTAAAGTCCTGATCCTTAATTCGGAGCATAGACAAAGTAATATGTCTATAACTGAAAAACTGAATCAGCACTTACCTGTCGTCGGCGGGGCGTGAGCATGACGGTTCAGGTTTTTCTGAAAGATTACTGTCTGAAAAACTTTTCAGAGACGCAGAAACGTGCTCTGATACCATTTGTAACACCCCTCCTTATCGTAAAATCAGAGTGCGAAAAATTAGCAAAGTCTTTTAAAAATAAAACCTTTTTACTTTGCGAAAACTGATTCGGGGTGCTACCTTAAAATCATGACTTAATTTGGAAAACCGTTATTTTAATTTTTAAGAAAATCATCCGGTTACTGAATCATAAAGTTTTCCAAAAGTTCGTCAAAATAT